TTTTTTTTATATTTAAAACTAATAATAATATATAGAGTGATGGTAGCGTCAATATACCCAATTTAATAAAAGTGTTCTTACATGATTCTCTGTGGTGTGAGCCAGCAATACATCTTTCTATTCTTTTTTGCATTTTGAATACTTCTATCGATTGTGCTGAATTTCCCCAAAAGGTTAATCCATAGTATATATTAGACTGTACAAGTCCAAAATAGGCCAACTTGACTACTTGATGAGATACTGTTCCACGTAGTTGCCTGAGTACAAAGCAAACACTACTTAATTTGGACGTCAAATAGTCAGTGTGTTTTTCCCAGGTCAATTTTTGGTCAATTATCAAACCTGGCCTAACTGCTCTATAGACCTATTATTTATTTTTATTAGGGGACAGTACTCTAACGAAACGTTTTTTTGTTGATAATTCATGAAAAACGTTTTATTACCATAGACTAGCAGACCATTGTACACCACTGAGAGAATTCATCAGCAGATGTATTTGCAGTCTGAACAGAAAGAGATAGTTCATTTTCTGCTATTATTTGATAAGTATCATCTGCATAGATTATTGTTTTTTGGGAAGATACACATGAATACCCTATATCGCTCATAAATATTATAAAGAAAAGTGTAGCCAAGGTTGAACCCTGTGAGATCACTATTGAAACAGGGGCAGGTTGAGATTTAATTGAGGAATCTGGTTCAAATATATCCCTTTCAATTTAGATTTTATAAGTACTTTGAATTTACCTTATAGTGACTTAAATTCCTCGATAAATTGGGTAAGGTAAAAAATTTGATAAATAACCAATATGTGGATTTTGCTGTGATCTTTGCCAATTTTTATATTTAGTACTTCAGGATTCAGTTGGGTACATCAGTTCGCTGTTTGCGAAGTAGAGGGACAAGAGTAGGTTATCTTAGTTCTTTGATCCACGATAATGATTAAACAATTTTCACATTTTTTTTTTGTTTTATTCTAGACGTTTTTCGCTAACACGGTAGCTTCATCGATGCTATTGTAGTGGTAGCATCGCTTGGGAAAATTGTTATATTCGAGTAAGGGGTCAGTCCATTCATTTTTTTTTTTCATTTTTGTTGCTTTCTTATTTCTGGTCGATTTCTTTCAGAAAGTTCAGTTATTTCATATGATCCTGAAAATTTGTTGTTTTTTATTTCTGCCTTCTGGATTTTGTTTGAAAAATGTTTGTCCTATGTAAAACCATTACTTTCCTTTCCTTGAGTATAACTTTTTGCTACTAGTTTTTTTTTATTTGATTCTAATTTTTCCTTTATATTTTCGTAAATACATATGTTCTAACTTTGTTTTGTCATTTGCAACAGTTTGCGTAAAATGCGTGGCATAGTTTTTTAAATTTTCATCTATCATAGTATCATAGATGTATTTCATTTGACATTCTACGGCATTCAATAATTGTAGAATGAAAACGTTCAGCGATACTGTTAGATTTATGATGGTTAGATGTGGTGAAATGAATCTTGATTTTATGTAGATTAAGAACTTCTTTAAATATCTCATTATTAAATTCGGTGTCATCATCAATAATTAATGGTTTGCAATTCCGAAAGTTAAAGACATTTTGACAGGACTGGCGATCCCTACATCCTACACAGCTGGATGTCGACGGATTCGCCGAGGTCGTCAGAATGTTCTAGGTTTGTTCTGGTTCTGCGAAATTTAGGTTCTAGGACGTCAGGATCATGCGCAGTTGATATAGAGCGTTNTATGAAGGCCATCGGTGAATAGAAACTGACCTCAAAATAATTTATTTCTAATGAAGCAGTGCTATTATAGTTATAAGTTCATATACTGATTGTTATTGAATGTTATTTTTGAGAAATAAATAATTATTATCACTACACGAGCTTTTGAATAAGGATACAAAATACCCAATTATTCTGGACATGAAAAATAAATACACCAAATTATTAGTAAGATATTTTCATGAAAAATTTCACCATAGAGAAGATGAGTTAGTTTTAAATGAACTCAAAGATATTAGTTGATGAATGATCTTGCTGCAGTAAAATCAGCCCTTTTGAAGTACCAGAAATGTAAGAATGAAAGAGCGCCACCTATGCCATCTCTAATGAGGCAGATTCCGGAAGTGAGACTCTAGTTCTCTAGAGTCTTACTTCTGTAAGACCTTTACTTGTTTAGCTATTAGAGCCATACATTTCGAAATATTTTATACTCTAACAAGTGAATTAAAATAATTCCACCTGATGCTCCCCACATGGGTGGAACGTGGGAAAGACTTATAGGGTACGACCACTCTCTAAGAGAAGGAATATTGAAGATATTTTTTGCAGCGACTGAACATCTCGTGAACTCTCAACCTCTGACATGCGTATCAAACGATGCAATGGATGGTCAGGCTCTTACGTCTATATATGTTTTGATTGGATTATCATGTGGTGTAGAAAAATCAATATAGTAAGGTTGAATCCAGACAATATCAGTCTTCGTCCTGAATGGAGGAAGGCTAGTTTCGGGAAGCGATGGGTATAAAAGAGTAACCTACCCATATTAACGAAAATAAATAAATGGACAAAGGACTATAATCACATAATAATTGACGACGCGGTTATATTATTCGACTACCATTCTTCAAGATATGGTGGGAAATGAGATAGAATAAATATAGTTCACCTCAGGATCTAATGGACGAATTAGAATCGTGGGTGTTAAAACAGCAACAGGGCAATTCGTGCAACCAGTCAGGAAACTGTGTCGATTTGGAATTAGAAATTATATACACATTTTGCAATTAGCAGTTGCAGTTGTTAACCTTCTAACAGGGACCAGGGGAGATATCTTGATTATTTTACTATACTTTACTATAAAGTTAGAGTACCTAGTAGTTATGTCAGATTGACTTTTGATAGTAGTGACATAGAAATTTGTCTAAGGAAAATATTGCCCTTTGACGGAGAAAATTAACTTGTTTGGAAGAGATGTAAACACGACAGAAGGTAAACAGCTGATTTTGGAATTGCAAACATGATATTGTATGATTCGACGTTCATAACGATACTAGTTTCAAAAATTATATCGAAAACAATAAGTGAATGCCTACTGAAAAAACAGTGAGGTTTTCAAAGCTTATTAAATGTATTAAAAAATGTTGTAATAATGACATCATTGCAAACCCCAAAAATAAATCCAAAGTGGCTTAGAATATTTTTTCAGGAAAAGGTGAAAAATCAAAAACACGGTCGGAAGCCATTCACATAAATAGTAATAACAGTATCTGTCGTGCAGGATCTCCAGACTATTTCAATTCACTTTGTTGAAAATTTCAATATCATACTCACATGGTAATGAACATTATCTAAATTACGTGTGTTACAAGAATAAACAAAGGTATTGCACGTATGAGAAATACAATTCTTATTTGGAGACAAAGTGTTTATGATTAACGTTTCGTGCACCGATCAACCCCATAGAACATAGAGTATATTCCAGAAAAGAAATTTTTGGTTAGAAATGTATATTTTCCATTGGCAACATTTGTTTGGCAGAAAGTTTCTATCAAACACTGTCAACTGTCTCTTTCGTCTACATTTAATGGCAGTCGCTATTATTATATGAAGTTACAGATAAATCTTATGAATTGACGGTCATCGGACATTTATTTGGTTTGTGGTGAATCAAAGAAATTAGTTTTCATTATGGCGGATAAAGTTAGTAAAATATTTTTCTAATTATTCATATTTTCTGTTTCCGATATGATTTAACTTCAGAAATGCTTCCAATTTATTATTTTTTCTAGGTTGATGAACAAGTGAAAAAGAAGAGGACTTTCAAAAAGTTCACCTTTAGAGGAGTTGATCTGGATCAACTTCTGGATATGCCTAAGTAAGTACAAGTCTGCATTTACACTAACAATATTCAGAAGCATATATATGGCCTTGTACCAAACTTTTACTTTATATTTTATATAAAGTAGATTGCCCGATAAGACTCTATACTCTTATAATTTTGATACTGATATATTGTTGATATATTTTCTCGGCTCAGAACGTGTTTAAGTGGAAGTTTGGTGTATGAATCCGCCATCAATATATACTTAAAATGTCTACATGCGGTTTACTGTTGTTTACTGTCCTATAAAAGACTAGTTATTTACATCATAAAATATAATATTCGCCACATTCAATGTCCCTGTCTCATCACTGCAAGCCACACTCAACTTATTTTTAGTGATGGGCAAAATGAAATACCAAGAATCAGAAGTATTCAATTCTTCTGATTTTTTAAAACACCTTGAGTACATGTGATGAAGATTTGAATACTTTCACTAACCGACTAATGGGGACACTGTAGTTGATAGATTTACAGTTTGAGTTAATATATCAAAAAATTTGAATTCGAAGAAATGTTTCTAAAGGAATGAATATAATATGAAGATTCTTCAATTGATGTGAATGTAAAAGGCAATGGTGAAGATGTATTTTCATGGGATTAAAACAGGATAATTGACCTCAAAACATGTAGAGATCTACTAATCTTCCAAAGTCTGTGTTTACTCGTATAATTTCAAATGTGCTGTGTTATTTTTGATTTGTTGGCCACTACAATCTCCTGCATATCTGGTTTTCTTATGATGACTAGCCACTGTTTGCTGGCAGTCAAATGTGCACTGGCTCTACTGTCAACATACCAGTATGTATCTTTGAAATCGCCTGTGGTAAACACAGCATTGAATCCACTTTTGGATTGATTAGTATTATTGCATTTGTAAAATATGATGTTGTTTAGGTCTTATTTACAACACAGTGGGTTGAACTCGAATGACCCCCAGCCTTATGTTTCCATGTTGGCGCTTGACCGATCCCAGCTGATTTGCCTTGGAAATTCATCCTACTACCGCCATCTCAATTAGTTTTTTGGAAGCCTGACTTGGAATGTCAAATGGCTGCAGCGCACCATTGCTGCCGCCGTTTACATGTCAACAACTTTCTCTTGATGGTTCTATAGAAATGTTGATTTTCGAATGTTCGCCGGCTATAATCATGGGTGCATGCATGTCTCTCAGGAAGCCCCGCCAACAGGCGTGACCTCACCCATTCCTCAATGATATTGAAACTGGTCTGTCTCAATTTTTGGGGTGTTTCGACAATTTCATTAATGTAGCTTTCATGAGCTATTGTGAGTTTCCAATCTTGACGAAATGAGTGTGCGTAGGAGATCTATTTTACGCATGAATCATATAAGTATTTCAGATTCGTTTTTGCATCTTTCACATGTGAAAACAAAGATGGATCGATGGTAAGGATCAGCTTAGCTTTTGCCTTTTGGATAGTCTTTTTATGTCTCTTTGCCTTCGATGCATTCATTCAAGCCTTCGAGAATATATAATAATAATCTTTATTTCAACTAGGCATCTTAATTTACGAAAACATTTCTAAAATTGGATTAACAAAGTCACAGTCCAACTTCATAACAATAAAATATGTATGCTTGGAATCATCCAAGCATTCAATGAATAGAAAAAATAAATATATTAATTACAAATACTAGATATATATGTTATTATAATATCAATGTTAATGTGAATGTTGTATCTTCAAATGACTAGTAAGTACATTTTTTTAATGTTGTAATAGCTCACTTTGTTCTATCTCAAGCGGGTAGTTATTGTAGTCCAAAAGTCCTTTATGGAATAACGAGTTCATGGATCGTGTAAAGTTCAAACGTGGTACATATAAATTAGTGTTCCCTCTAGTTGGGTAACTATGAATTTGGTAATGGAAAACAATAAATTGGTCAAAATATGAGGTTGCATTACCGGACAGTACTTTGAAAATGAATATCATCGTAAGATAGAACCGACAATCTTTCACAGAAAGCCAATCCAGAATTTCCAACATTGTTGTAGTTAGCATTTATCTATTACATCTTAAAATTAGTCGCATGTAAATACAATTTTGGTCAACATCTATTGATTGCCTTTGGAATATCCTAACATCTTTGAATGACTTGATTACCAGTATAATTTAAAATGTAAAATTTTAGTCTGATAGCTACAATTATTCACCATATTTTATTCTCGCTAATTTCACTTTACAAATTGTAAGTGGGGAACCAACCTGGATAACTGCACCCACTCTCATAACTGCACCCACTCTCTTCATTGACCATAATATATTTGACAATGCTGAACACAAGGATACTAGGATGAGATATGACAACTTTATCTGATTATCAGTTGATTTTGTTTACTTTTGAAGTATTCAATGAAGAAATAATGACATTGCTATTTCGAATTCTAAATGGAATATCCTTATTTTGTGATATCAAACTTACTAGACATATGATAAAAGTGATGAACATTTGTACAAGTGAGATTATAAATAAAATTAGGTCTTCCGGCTCTGAATTAATAAATTTGTATGTCATTTTTCGTATGAATCCTGAACTTGCAAATGTTTATAAGGAAAAGAAAAAGCTCCATGGCAACTTTATGAAAACAAGAAAGACATTTTATTGAAATGAAATGATAATTGGTAGATAGTATCAGCCATCTTAGAAAAAATCTTTTTGATTCACAAGACGAAGTAACATATTTTAACAATAGGAATATCTACTTTGATTTTTTTTTCTCTCAACTGCCAGATCTACTAACTTGGTAAATCTAACATATTTGCGAGTGGCCAAGTCAGTTGTGAAAACCTATAGAGTTTGAAAACTAAGGTAATTTTTATTTATTTATTTTTTCAGTGAACAGCTGATGGAACTCATGCATTGTAGAGCAAGAAGGCGTTTCACTAGAGGACTTAAACGTAAACCTATGGCGTTAGTAAAGAAACTCCGTAAAGCCAAGAAAGAAGCCCCTCCTCTAGAGAAGCCAGAAATTGTAAAAACACATCTACGTAATATGATAATAGTGCCTGAAATGGTTGGTTCTATTGTTGGTGTTTACAACGGTAAAGCCTTCACGCAGGTTGAAATCAAACCTGAAATGATTGGACACTACCTTGGAGAATTTTCTTTGACCTACAAACCTGTCAAACACGGTAGGCCTGGTATTGGTGCTACCCACAGCTCCAGGTTTATTCCTCTCAAATAAAATGTTTTGTTTTATTTTTAATAGTACATTTTTCTGAGAGAAATGTGTTTTATTTTGTGAAATAATTCCTGCTTATATAAAAACGAATGGTCAATGTAAAAATGTTCAAAAGATTCTAAATCTTTTGAAGGCTAATGTTTTTTTAACAACACCATTACATTTTTCCCTCATTTCTGGACTCTAGTATCTAATTTACTATATTTTGAGGCAAAGGAAATGTTACCTCGAAACATTCAAAATGAACATTTTCATTCATATTTGAATGTAAAGTACTCTGATGTTGATTATCTTCAATAACAAATGGATATCAATTTGTATAATTGATTTCATGTCTAATGTGATATAAATTGATTTGAAATCCCTGAAAAAATTTTTCTTGAAATGAAAAGATTAGCTAAAAAATAACAATACAGCGAAATAAAATACAAGCAACAATAAAAAATTGAACTATTAACAAGAAATATCATATTAGACAATGGAAGTCTGAACTAATGAAATGCACCACGAAACATTGTCAACCACCTTCAAACATTGCTCTGCTACTTGTGCGAACCTGACCTGGCTTCGCACAAGTAGTAGAGCTTTCATTCATACATTTTCTTCTTTCAGTGTTGCATCAGCTTATAACTAATGATAATGATCACATGATGAAGTTCACTCTCCAAAAGCAAATATTATAATAAAAGTAGAATGGATAAAGCTACGAATGAATCACTTAATGACTTCTATTGCTGAGAACTTGACGAAAAATATAAAAGCAGCCGGTGACCCCTTAGCTTAGACTATATGAATATTGAAGTTACGAACATCTTTATATTATATGATACAAATATTACCGAACTGCATGAAACATTTTTTTCCATTAAAAATAAAAACTCCACAAGCTCAGATCAAACCTCTATAAAAATTCTAGAAAATATTTCTACAAGAATACTCAATATATTAGTTGGTCTAATAAATAATTCATTTAGAGAAGGAATCTTTCCAGTTTTTTTGAAGTCGGTTGTGTTAGAACTGCCAAAGGGAGAAGTCATCAATGGTCCATCAAATCTTCGTCCAATTTCTCTAATCTCTGCAATGGCTAAATTGATAGAAAAATTAGTCAAAACAAGACTCCTTTGTTTTCTGAATGAAAACAAAATAATAAGTGATTGTCAGTTTGGTTTCCAAAGGCAAAATCACTTCAGATGCCATATTTTCATTTCTTTACAATGTTTATTCCAACATAAATGAGAAAGAAATAGTGGCTGCGGTGTTCTGTGATATAGCCAAAGCATTTAATTGCGTAAATCATTAAATTCTTTTACGGAAAGTCAGCAGATACGGTATAACTGGAATATGTCTTAAGTGGTTTGAGTCATACTTAGCAGATCGCACCCAGATTGTCAAAATCACTTCATACTCAAATGAAGGTAAAATTACTTGCGGGGTCCCACAAGGTTCGGTACTGGGCCCACTTTTATTCTTAATTTACATTAATGACCTATCGTCTATTAACATCCAAGGAAAATTTACTATATTTGCTGATGAAACTACCATTTTATGGCATGCTCCTAATAACCATACGTTGTATGAAGTTATTGAGAATGACATCACGAAAGTGAAAGACTGGTTTGACTCAATTTTTGAGCTTGAATTTATCAAAAACAAAAGTAGTGTCCTATTCCAGCCGTACATCTAAATAATATTCAAATTGATAACGTACCTACCAACTTCTAAATTCCTTGGTTTGTTCATTGACAATAATTTAAAATTCAACAAACATGTAGATACTTTGAAATCCAAGCACTCCTCTGGATGTTATGCAATACGAGTAACTGCATTTGAGCTCGGATCTGCAGAAGCTAGAATGGTTTATCATTCCCTTTTTGAATCCCATCTTCGTTATGGTGTGTGTTCTACCACATGCCTTCAATCAGTATTACTAATACAAGCCTAGGGACTCTTGTCGGCCTCTAACAGAATCCTAACTGTGGTCTCCTTATTTATATATGAGACAATCTGCCTTCTCTTCAAAAATAGGGTCTTTTTTAACATCTTGGACGAGCCAATGTATCAAACCTGGCAAAGATTCAGCTTCAAATTACCGCTGCCTTCTTCGACCCTATTTACAACGGTCTCAAAATGTTCAATCACCTTCCTCGAGCTATAAGAACCGTAAATGACCTCAGAGCTCTTAAGAAAGAGTTGAAAGACTTGCTTTCTGTGAGACCTTATTATAGCCGTGCAGATTTCTACGATGATAATTTTAATTGAGAAGACTAACTATAATATCTACGGTATTTTATTGATTTGATTCAATTTAGTTTAAATTGATTTATTTAATTTCATTGACCAGTAGTGCGCCCGACTCACGATCGGAAGGCTGTGGGTTCGATTCCCGCCTCGACCAGATATTTTTCTCGAGAGAATTTTTCTGGTTAAAGCGAGGATGATTCTGCAACCGTGTTAGGAATCACACGTTAACAGGTAAGACCTCGTTAATTCTTAGCTCGCCACAAGTTTCTCAACTTCTGAGAGTTGTCGTTCGTAAGGGGGCGACAGGCGGAAAAACAGATTTTTTAACGTTTATCCTGAACGTTTGTATTAGGTTATTATTATTTACATGTCTCTTTTCAGTTCATGTTATCACTTACTTTTAGTGATTTTACTTTTGTGATTTCATCTATATGTTATTTATATTTCGCACAAGGCTTTGTCAATAAGAATTTATTCTACAGACAATAAAGTATAATTGAATTGAATTTATTCGAAGTCAAATTGTTGGGATCGCTGAATAGTGTAGCTGAACCTTCTGGTTTGTGTAGGAAAAGAAAACTACTGTTGAATTCAATGGAACTCGAGAAGTTCATTCATATTTTGGAAACGGATGAAGAAAGTTCGGGGTCAAGTAGTGATTGTGACATTAGTGAAATGAGTTCCTCATCGAGTGATGAATATTTAGAAAATACCCAAATATTTGAAGAACTAAAACAATTGTATGGTGCCAAAGTGTTGATTTCAACAGCAGGTGTTACCCAAACTGATGCTGCTGTTGATGAACGACATGACGACAACGGCTGGAGTTCCCAAGAAAATTTGAAATTGTCGGCACTCAAGTATTTTTAGTAGAAGCTGCTGGACAACATCCGATAGATGTTAATTTTGAGATTTTTCCGATAATGACAACGATCGATTAGGAAAGATACGTTGTATTATGGATTATTCTAATAAGAAGATGAAATCTATTTACAGTCCAGGAAAGGAGCTATCCCTTGATGAAACAATGGTTCTATGGCGCGCCCCTTTTATTCCCGTGGGGTTTAAAGGGGCGCGTTTACATGTGAAAGTTACCTTTTCATCAAGAACTGGCTGGTATCTCAATCACCACAAAAGAAATAACCAAGGAAAGGAATTTCTGGCAAAAACATAACAATCTGCACTGATAGTAGACAAGAGCCATATTAGCCTTAAACAGACGTGTTACCTCAGGCTAGTACTAGAGTGCGACCAAGATTTAGCCAAAGCCTCGGTAGATAACAACATTATCCTAAGGTGGATTAAAGGGCACGACAGGAGTGAAGGTAATCGCATTGCCGACTATTTAGCCAAGGAAGCGGCTGGACTAAGAATTATAGCATCCAGTGGCACATACGGCCTGATGACTTCGATAATTGCGGAACTAACTAAACGTTACACCTACGCTCAAATCCTAAAAAGATGGAATGAAATCAAAGGATGCAATCTTGCCAGGATCACCCTGGGAAGCTGGCGCCGAAGAAATATCTGGCGATGACCAGGAATAATCTATGCTTAACAGAAGGATTTCTGACTGGCCACTGTCGACTATGCAGGATGTGTGAACAGGAAGATGAAACTGTCAGGCATGTCCTATGCGAGTGTCAGGAATTATCGTCAATAAGAGACTGTGTGTTCGGCGAGTCTTGACCTACACCTGCCGATATAAAGGAGATGTCTCCCATCAGTGACCTGTCCACCTTCCTGGAAAGGACAAAATGGACGATGACCTAGGAGGACAACTCCTCGGGAGGATGTACAATGGGTCACATGTGGCCTAAGTGTTGTGGGCCTACATTCACCCTCCCTACTCTACAGATACAAATACCTTTTCATAACTGTTTCTCCGTACTGCTATATTTTCAGAGGTTGAAGCTTTGTAAGTAGGTTCGTTTTATGTTAATGTGCAATAAGAAATAATTTTTAAATATTCCAAAAAAGACGCCAGCCGCAGGAAAAAAAGGTGAGTTTATAAAATTATCTTTAGTATATCCTTTATCTCATCTGTCCATAATATTATAAATATGGCCCCCTACAGCATGTAATTTGAATAAATATTTGCGGCGGCAACCCCTAAAGAAAACATGCTTGTATTGTCTACTGACAAAAACGCTGTGAACATTATACATAAAGGCAATCTATAGTATATTTAGTATCAGCATTGCACCCGTGCGGAGCCGGGGAGGTTCGCTAGTTTATGATATGCTGTTAAAGTTAACAAAAGATTCAGTGAACTTAGGACATTCATTGTATATGGATAATTTTTACAATAGTACCTACGAAATTAGCTGAAATGCTTTTGGTGAAAAATACCTATTGTACTGGCATATGTTAAACGCAAAACAAATCCAAAAAGCGTTACTAGTTCAATGATAATCTTAGACACATGCGAGCGCTGCTTCCGCTTCCAGAAACTCTGCAGATAAAGAAACATACAATAATTATCGGAATTGATGAACACTTCATTTAAACTACTTTTAAAAAACGTTTTTGATTGAAGTTTTTATTAATTCCTTATTTTATTTTCTAAACAAAATCATCTAAACAAACACATCTCCTAGCAACACCTAGCATACTCCATTTGAAGGAAATTGTAGGGCACTACACATGTTTCCAACTACTATATTGAAACAGCAGAAATAATCAATCAACTCATGAAAACTATCAGCTGGTCCCGATGGAATTCCGTTGCAATTTTTGAAAAACTGCATATTCACTCTATTAGCATAACCCTTACAAACATTATTTAATCTTTCTTTATCTATGGGAATCTTCCCTGCATTCTAGAAGCAAAGTTTTCTAACTCCAATCAACAAATCTGGTGATAGAGAAAATATTAAAAACTACCGTCCAGTGAGCAAGCAATCGGAAATTCCCAAGTTGCTGGATTGTTTGATAACTAAAATAATTGTTTAAAAACTGACATTCGTTACAAAAAACATGATAAATGAACACCAAAACATGACTTAATATCTGGTAGATCCACTACTACAAATTTATTGCTTTATCAACATTTCCCTTTGAATAACCTAGAGGAAAAACACCAAATTGACTCTATTTATACTGATTTCTCTAAAGCTTTTGACAGGGTAAATCATGATCTTCTCATGGCTAAGATCCTAGCATTAGACATCAATGGTAACATGTCAAAATGGATAAAGAGTTATTTGGATAATAGAATTCAGTATGTTGAATATGCTGGTAACATATCATCACAAATTCCTGTAATGTCTGGTGTCCCTTCAAGGATCGCATATAGGCTCAATACTCTTCATTTTTTTTGTAAACGATGTGTCGGATGTCATACGCCACAGCTATGAAGCATGAAAACATGCTTCATTTAAATGATATCAAATAATATTTTCAAGAGCTGTGAAACCTATTATATATCCATTCAGTGATATCCATATAAAATCAAAAGCATTAATCTAACGTTGACTAACAGCGTTCGGGACTTGGGAGTGTTGTTTGATAGCAAAGTAACCTTTAAAGGTAATATTGATCACATTTATATCTATATCACTCAAATTTATTTAGTAATTTTCTTCTTAGGTAAAAATCTATCTAATACATGTGCTTGTTTGGGTCGCTTCTCTGGTTCTTTTTCCAACACATCAATTTTATTTTTAATAAACGCTTTCTTTGCTTCTTCTTGAACAATTTTTTTATTTCTTGCCATATTAACGGAACCTCCTTTGCCCTTAGCTTTTTTTCTAGGTTCATAGTTGATTTTAGGCGGTTTAAGATACTGCAAAAATAAGAAGGAATATTAATAGTTTCACCAAATTCAAGTATTCATAACTTACCAATAGTTTTTGTTTTGCTTGAATCTTTTCTCTCAGCGATGGTATATCTACATCAGCAATAGATGTGGGGTCCAAAGTTATCATTTCAGGTTGAATCTGAAAAAATTACGGAATATTTTCAAAATAATATATATGCCAAAGTATAATAAAATAAATGTAGATCATTAAACAGCTAAGGAGTCTTACTACCCGTTTTTATAATTACTGCATTTATTTTCTTTAGTTTGTAAATTGGTTCATCCGAGATGCTCACCACATAATAGAATTTATTTTATTCAAAATGAACATTAAATTCACTGTTCAGATGTATATACTATTAATACCTTTTCAAGAAGAGATTTCACTTCAGCTTCTCTTCTCTGAGACTTGGATTGGAATGGATTTGCTTCCCTCGAATCGAAATTAGGTTCTCCTGCCCCTGGTACCAACAAACTTGTGAAACCTCGAGAGGTTGTAACACCTATCACATCTTCATAGGGACAAAAGTTCAAGTTGCTTATTGGAGTGACAAAACGATGCTTGAGGTACGCCCTCTTTGCTGCTGTCTGGCAACAATCCCTGAAAAATGTCAATAGAATTTTCATTTTGTGTCAGATGTATAAGATGAAGTCATTTTTGGGAAAGAAAGGTAACACATCCAGGATATTTATTCATGTAGAGTATGGCATATGACATCTGGAAAAAAAATAAAGCTGTTCATTTTTTAAATTGGTTTTTCAAATTATTTATTGCCCTTAACACACTTATTTGCTACATTGTTGCGAAATCATTCAAAATCTCGAGTCTTCTACATTTTCTATCTCTCTGCCAGCGTAAATCCTATTTTTCAATGTCCCCCATAGAAAATAGTCCAAAATAGTAAGATCTGGTGATCTTGCAGGCCATTATATTGGCCCAGTATTTGTCTCGAAATGGAAGGACTCCAATTCGAACATTTATTGGGCCATTCATTTTTTTGTGTATATAAATTACTTCATTTCAATTTTCATTACAAATATAGAGTTGGTTTTGGATGTTATTATGCCTATCATTTCTTTTTCTGCCTACACAAAACGATTTAAAAACTATATGGTACATAGGGAGACGTAAAAGTTGCTAATGTGTTTTTATTTAACTCAGTCAACTAATTTTCAGTATCGTAATGTAAAAGGGAATAATTCACCCAATTATAATCAAATATTACTGAAACATTCTCTAATATAAAATAAAATTCAATTTCTCAGTATGAAGTGAACGTCTACGATCCAAAAACTACAACAAAAATACAGGTCCGTATTTAAAAATTCAAAGATGGGGGTGGCCCAAGTCAGATGACACCCTATACAGGGTGTTAATTAAGTATATACCATAAATTCAACAGACGATTTTTCAGGTAATTTTAAGACGAAATGTTCATGCAAACATGGGTCCGCAAATCCTTCGTTCTCAAGATACAGGGTGTTAAAATAAAAATAAAAAAAACTTATTCGTAAATATCCTTTACCTAATTTTGTTGTAATTTGGCAATGGTATTTATGACATTAAGGAGCTGATTTAGCCCGAACGTGATTCGAATTATTAAGTCCAGTGGCGTCTCGAGCGGGATTTGAACGGAAATGTTTGACTTAAAAATGTACGACACAGACTTTTGTACAATTTTTATTATTTCTTTGGAATAAGCAATTAGAAATACAACTTTTTTGTCTCTTGAATTTTTTTTCGTATCTTGCTTAGTTTTTAAGAAAAAAAAGTCGACCTAATTGCATATCCCTGGACCTCACAACGAATGATATGGGGAATTAAATGTTTCTTTTGGAAATTATTATTTTTACAATTTTTCATTACTAATTATGTAACAATAACAACAAATATTAAATAACATTAACATCTAAACCAACGAATTGCACTAAATTAAGTGTTGAAAATGGCCTCCTTCGGCTTCAAAACAACCGTCTAGCCGCCGCATCATTGAATACCTAGCGTATTTTTTATTATGTCACATGAATTAATGATTTTATTCCGTAAATCCTCTTCACTTTGAATAGCAGTTGAATAGCACTTTAAGGTGTCCCCAGAGAAAATAATCTAGGGGATTCATTTCGGGCGAGCGAGGTGGCCATGGGTAAGGGCCTGCTCTCCCAATCCAGCGATTATGGTCATTTTCATCCAAAAAATGCCCTGCCACTACACTGAAGTGTGGTGGAGCACTATCGTGCATGTACCACATACGAAATCTTTCCGTGACTGAAATTTCTTCTAAAAGTCCAGGTAAAACAAATTCTAAAAACCTTCAGTATTCTTCTCCATTGAGTCTAGGTGGAAGGAAGTGAGGCCCAATGAGATGGTTACCGACAATTCCAACCCAAATATTAAAAGAAAACTGTTCTTGAAAGTTTTCGGCCCAAATGTGATTGTTGTGGAAGTTAATAATTGAATTGCGATAAAAACAAGCTTCATCTGTAAACAATATTCGACTTAGGAAATCTGGATTTCTTCTTATTTTACCGCATAACCAATTAGAAAAAGCACACGTTGCATGTGATAGGGATATAGCTGCTGGGCTCTTAAAATCTGCCACACTGTGACATGGGTAATATTCAGTTCTTCAGCTATGTTCCGAGTACTAGTATGAGGATTTACTTCAATCTCATTTAAAACAGCTACTTCAATTTGAACTGTTCATACCGTTGCAGGCCTCCCAATGACAACCGTCGATCTTTTAAAGCTGCCTATTTCAGAAAGTCGTGCATGGAGACATACAAAAATTCTTCTATTAGGCACTACACGCTGAGGAAATCTTTCATGGTAAATGTGTCTTGCAGCATTTCAGTTTCCGTGAGCCATTCCATAACAGAAATGCATATTTCGTTTACGAGAACCCCATGTACAGAAACAAATTTGAATAGCCCTGTATATTCAAGCCTAAATTAAACATTTCTGAATTGAATTATGAAGATATGTCATACATAAACACCAATTCAGAGATGTACTTGATATGTGACTGTTCTGATAAGTAATTATTACTTACCTATATATTTCTACTACATTTCCCATACCAAGTGCAAGCATCTTCTTTTGAGAGAATGCTACATTATTTGCAGCTTGAATGAGTTTATATTCCTGTACAGGCCCTTCAAGTTTTCGTACATCCCATATTTTCAACTCCCTATTGGTTGCAGAAGTTGCCATATACCTGAAATTGTAAAACATTAAGTATTATCAAAGTTATAAAAATAATAAAATACTTACGTTCCACTGGGATCTATATCGACAGCAATAACAGGAGCTTTATGGCACAGCATTTTGGCTAAGGGATCTCTTGATGTCGGAGACCAAAATGATACTACACCCTTCGCATGTCCCAAACATAAGGTAGCATTCCATGGATTTTGTGTCAAAACTGATAGTCTTCCCAAATTTGTGTTATATTGACCAGCAAGTTGCCCAATGGAGACATCAAGCCAGGCTAGATATCCTTCATCACTCTTTGTTATGAAAATAATAAATAAGAATTAAAAGGTAGAAGATGAATGTAGGACACAGATCTGTAATTCGTTGCGGGAAGGTTGTCTCAATGTTTTTACAAACGACCATTAAAAAGTGCTAAGTATCTGCTATGAGAACAAACCAGAGCACTTCGTCAATTGTCCCGTCGCCTTTGAAAATAAAACATCAGGCATCAAAACCTAAAGACGATGACCAAAAAATTCGTGAGATGACTTCAACACAACCACAGGTAACAGTAAATTTCAAAAAGTTTATTTCAGAGACATTTAATGTGTAAGTGTCGAGAGTGAAGAAATCTATTTTACCGATCATAGATGAATAAATGTTTCAAGTTATCTCTTGAGTTTGATTCATTTCTATTAATTATAATTTGGTCTTTAAAAGTATATTCATACTCGAGCATCATATACAATAGGGTAATTTTACATGCAGTATTTATATGTGAAATTTCAAACAAAAATGATTGTAGAATATTGTTTTTTGTTGTTGTTGTTGAACAAATAGTTTTTTGTAAAAAAGTGGTTTTATTTTATCAATCCAAGCTTAGTAAATATTTGTCTCGTTTTCAGGAAAGCGAAGTCTTTCACCGTTTGTATCGGTACACAACACTTCCTTCGTTTCCCCACGGGAGCGTAATCGTCTTCCACTTTGATTTCACTTAATGATTAACTCAACACAAAAACTGAATTATAGACCTGAACAAGGCAGTAAATGTCAAGGGAGATGAAATAAATAAACCAGATCCAAAGATAGTTCAAAGTAAATTACATGTTAAACTGTTAAACAAGCCTCATCAAATGTGTTAAAATTTCTTCCAACTGGTCGATTGGGCTATCATCTATATATCACTCAAAGAAACAAAATTTAGACGGCAGCGCCTTTACGGATATATTCGAAAGTTGTCAGAACTAGGTGGAAATGCCTGGCTTACCAGTATTTGCAACCATACGGTTGCATAGATAAAAATTAAAAAATAATGGACGATGACCTAGGAGGACAACTCCTCGGGAGGATGTACAATGGGTCACACGTGGCCTAAGTGCTGTGGGCCTACATTCACCCTCCCTACTCTACAGATACAAATACCTTTTCATAACTGTTTCTCCGTACTGCTATATTTTCAGAGGTTGAAGCTCTGTACGTAGGTTCGTTTTATGTTAATGTGCAATAAGAAAGAATTTTTAAATATTCCAAATAAGACACCAGCCGCTAAAGTTAACTGCTGCTAAAGTTAACAAAAGATGCACTGAACTTAGGACATTCATTGTATATGGATAATTTTTACAATAGTAGCTACGAAATTAGCTGAAATGCTTTTGGTGAAAAATACCTATTGTACTGGCATATGTTAAACGCAAAACAAATCCAAAAAGCGTTACTAGTTCAATTCTACAGGATATCTGATTTATTATTAATGATTATGGAAATGAGGCCAGTTTTTCTATCACCTTCTAAATTTTTATTCATGTATGGCTTTATAATAAAGCGCATGGTTTACTGGGTTAAAATTAAATTATTCCAAATGAACTAATTCATAACAATGATAAATGTTAATTTTGAAAATAATGAACTTTGCTTCGTATAATCAGATGAAGAAATTAGTGATTTATTCTCAGAATTGATGAACAAGCGGTACGGTTTGTGAGGTCTGTTATAAAGAATTTTCGATTAGAAATCATGAATATTTATACACCTGAAATGATTAATTTTATAAATATGCACTATCCCTCCGATAATCAACTAAACCAACCGCCACTGTTTTATGGCCCAACTTACTTCCCGTAAACAAAGTTATGCTGCCTTGTAAGGATGAAAAAGGCCCCTCTATTGTCTTTTGTTACTCTGAGATATTTACAAATCAGATTCACAGAAATAGACACTTTCCTGAAGCACATCAACAACGTAAGTCCTTCCATCACTCTCACAATGGAGAAGGAAGTCCACAACGAATTGCCATTCTTAGACGTATTAGTGAAGAGGACAGACACTAAATGGGAAACATCTGTATATCGAAAACCCTTCCTCCCTAATGGTTACTCCAAAGTGATGGTTGAACAGGCTTTAGCTAGAAGACAGTAACAGCTCCGCAAGGAAGAGAAGCCACCACAACCAGTACTTGTATTTCCCTACATCAGAGGATTGTCAGAAAGGATAAGGATTGGGTCCAGATCTGGGAACACTATCCGTAGCAGTCTCACAAAAACCAGGCCAGCAAACGCGGACTGCGATTCCAAGAATTGCATTTACCGGATACGCTGCGAGGGCGGCGAATCATACATCGGTGAAACTGAGAGGTCATTGAAAGTTCGCATTGCCGAACACAAAAAAACACACACAGCGAGGAGAAACTAGCAAATCCGGAATAGCAGAGCATGTTTGAACCCATCAACATGACATCAAGTGGGCTCAAGCTGAAATCATCTACAAGGATAAACACTGGTTTAGGAGAAAATTCAAAAAAGCCGCATTTAGCCAAGCTAGCGTAGAGATACGTAACATATGGAAACTTCTTATAAAGCGGAACACGACCAACTCCCGCCAAACGGTCAGCTCCCGCTAAAAACCAATGAAACGGAGAGAGAGAAGAAGTGATAGGTGAAAGCAGTCGAATGACCTATAAATAGTCAGATCTCCAAGAAATAAGTCTAGTGTTAGTTAGGGAAGCTATGGATTATACTGTAGACAACCCCTCCTGATATAGAAGGCCCCGACACTCTGTGGAATGAGGCCTCCATGTCCCTCGTTAACAGATAAACAATGTTTTCATCCATCTCACCCCAGCCAGGTAGGGGTACACAGTGAAGGGCGGCACTGATGTCTGAGGACATTCATGCTCGTGTTGATACTTCAATTTTTTTTGTTTTTTTTTTGGTTATTACTTGTAGGTATGTAATTTCATTGTAATTTCAGTTTTTTGCTTCATAAAATTGTTCTTTCAGCTAATCTTTTTAATTTTTTTACAGATTCTTTCAGGGATTTCAAATCAATTTATATCATATTAGACACTGAAAGTCCGAACTGATGAAATAGATTCACAGTAATTACAATTTAGAACTAGTCTATTTCAAAACTCCAAACATGACCAGAAGATGGCAAATGAGACTTCACCGAGATGTTATGGAAATAATCCTTGTGAGGATCAAAAATCAAAACCACAGAATACATACTTTGTCAGTGAGAATCGATGAGTTCAATAGTCATTAGTGTTATGTTAATTGTTCACTCAGTTACCTCATTTACATAATGAGAATGATTACAAGTAAAACTGCAAATAAAACTCAAAAAATGACAATACTAAATTTTATATACAGTTGTCATTAATGACAAATATACAGAATACCCAACTCAGAAAAAATTCATATTTTCCAAATAAAGTCATTCTGATTATGGTCTATACTAATACTATAAACTAAACTATAAGTTTCAAGCATAGAGGAAAGAAAGAAACTCATCTGTGATTCAAGTATAAATGAAATAGGAATATTGTCTGATAAATTGAAAACTGCAGAACAAATACCATCTCTAACAAAATTGCCATTTTTGATGAAGTTCAATGGAGCCCAGAGCCCATACTAAAAAACAACAAACACTTTTTCATGTAATCCTATTTTGTTCGTTGGGTTAATAGGGTTAATATTTATTTTGATTTTTGAAATATAGGTACCCTCTCTCAGCAGTAATGTATCCATGTAGCATCTCTGTACCCAATCTCTATACCTTTACACTCAATAATCAAATTAGTACTCACTTGTTGTACTCCTGTTGCACATGTAATAAATACACTATTTCACCCATAGTACTAGCATTTCTACTTTTCAAAACATGAGAGCAATTGTTAATTGTTTCAGTATTCAATTTCCAAATTTCAAAATGTGAAATAAATAAAAATAATTTTCAAAATAGTGTTATTTTGATTTTAGAATTAACAAACCATTTATATTTTTCATAACATGTCCCTCTGTTTCAAACTTCAGCAGATGAATTCTCTGCAAATGGTCCACTAAATTCTTATGGGTTTTGAATGCAGCATCACAATCTGCTTCAAGGCAACAGCTACTAAAAGTTGCACCGCATCCCTTCTGAGATGAATAAGATAAATATAGGTTCTGAATTTTTTTGGTGCACTTCTCGTATATGTCTGTTATGAGATGATTGTGTGGCATATACATTCTCACATATACTACATATAACTGACATTTTCTGAATTCAAATTTCTTTGCAGGTAGGTAAAAAAGAAACCACAGTATAACTAAAACAAGTTCTAACACATAACCTGATTTTTAAAGTATAGTTTGCAATTTCCCTCGAAATAGAAACTAGGTACGTTGGTACGGAAGGCGGTTTAGCCTCTCATCTTCTTTTTTGAAGAGAAATGTCATTCTTGTTTATTCGATCCTTGTTATCAAGTGAACCAACATAAATATTTAGTGAGAAAGTTAAAATTACAAAAGAAAATAGAAAATATTCAAAATGTACATTGGTTACTTTTGAATTGATAGGGTATTTATAATTATTATTTTCTGAGCACACAGTCATGAATGAAAAATAATTTTTTAAAAGTGAGAGGCAAGAAATCATTTTATTAGATTTAGTTCAATTACTCAATGAATGAAAAAATATTAATTTCCTATTTTCCACCTCTTCAAGGAACAGACAATGGCGGCATGAAAAAATATTATTTTTTTATCAAATAGAGTGTCAATTGAAAGTGCTAGAGAATAAACTGTAACAAAGAGTTTGGCAATACAACAGATAACTGTCGTAGGTTTCAACTTCCATAACAACATTCTCGAGGTTAAATTGTCCTCTAAATTCTTAGGACTTATATGTATATAATAAACCTAAATTCGAGGATCATATTATTATGTACTAAATAAAAAACTCACATCTGGCTGTTTTGTTACCAAGTCAGTTTCAAGAGAACTAGGTAGAACCTTTGCAAGATCTGCTTACTTTGCCTTTGTAGATGCACATATAAGGTATATGGCATTTCCTTCTG